GTAGCTCCTGGCCTTACTACTAGGAGCAAGGACGCTACTAGTAGCTCTTACTACTAGGAGCAAGAAGCTACGAACGTAGCAAGGGATCCACCGGTCCCCTTCGAGTCATGATGATGCAAGACGAAGCATGCGAGTCCGGCTCGTCAGCGTGGATGGCCCCCGGGCGATCGTTCAGTTGGACTGTTACACCCCGGTTCCGAGACCCACATGGAACCTGATGGCATGGACCAGACTGGAAGACTGTTTTCCTCCACAATTTAGTTGTTTTCAGGTTCCATGTGGGTCTCGGAACCAGGGCGTCGCCCTTTTTGATGCTATCCACGGGTGGATGCTATTCCCCCCAAACTTATTCAGAAACACGTGGTGATTGGTGACAGGAAGGTGGATCTCCTACAAATCTCATTGGTTGACAGAACTTGGCTTGTCCCAGACGACCATGTGTTCTGGGTAGTACAGAAACAGCGCCTGTTACAGGCGAGCCAGCATGTTGCAGGGATGTTATGACTCACATGATTGCCATCAAGTATAGAACCCTCTTGGCTCTCCTGGCTCCTCAGGGCGACAAAGGGCACAGCATCAAGTGCCATCAAGCCGACTTGGATTTTCCCCTCATTTTAAATTTTCGACTCCCAGACTCCCATCGCTGAGGTCTTCCTACTATACAGTAGATCAAATAGATTAAAATAGTCGAAAAGGACGCCAGATCCCAGTCGTCCGTGCCCATTCCAACAGATTCTCTCTGCAGTTCTTGTGTTCTCTTCGGGGCACCGGGTGGGTGCCCCACCCGGCAAGTCCACTCCGAAAAACAGGGCTCCGCCGGATGGACCGACGTCCTTCGCTCCAGGCAGAATGTCCGTTGGCAGCCTTTGTGGGGACCGGTGCATCGATCGCTCTGGGCGTGTCTGAGGACATCGAGTCTCTGATGCTGATGGGTCTGATGCGGATGGGAGGAGTGGGTGGGGACATGTGATGTTTTCCTTCTCCGAACCGATGGCTGAACAAAAGGCAGACTCCAACAAAGGCTTTTTCGGATGCTTTTGGGTGCTTGTTACTCAGCACTCTGATGTTTTTGGTTGGCCAGTTTGGGTTTGGCGGGTTCCGCCCAGTGCTGGAATGCGGAGAACTGCCAGGCGGAAACTTGTTGGTCAGTATGACCATGTATGACCCTTTGAACATGCACTGTAGATTGGTGGATGAGTCAGTCTGGTTCAGCTATCTGAAGGTGGATGAGTCTGGGTCGATCGAAATCAGTCCGTGATTCCCAGACTCAGAACCCTGTTGGATGATCTTCAGAAAGACTCACAGTTGAGCAGGCCATCGCCTTCCTGACGAACTGGGAGATCTTCTCACTTCTCACCAAAATGTGCTGGTCGATGCTCAAGAGCTCATCCAAATCTGGGCTTTCCCAGATGTAGGTGATCTTACTTTCTCAATGACTGAGTGGCTGATCGCGCTTTGGTCCACCGATGCTGATGCTGCCTTGTCTCCCCACTTGTTTGCCTGTGTGATCGGTGTTTTGTCATGTCTGCCGTTGCCTTGTCCCCTTACCTGTCTTCCAACTTGGCCATTCGTCTCCTGTCTGCCTGTGTGATTCGCGTTTTGTTTGCCACGGCTGTCTTGCCTCCTTAATTCTCTGTCCTAGACAAAGTTTCGCCACAGCCTTGGCCCATTGCGCCCAAAAGCTCGCGGAAAGGTCCCAAACTGCAGTTTCGACACCCAGCCTGTCTGCCTGTGCTTGTAGAGGTAGTTGGTATCTGGGGCCTATGCCGGTGTAATTAGAGGGCCTTATGCTGCTGTTTTGCTGTAATTGGCCTTGGAAGCATCCGGATACTACCTTTTCACTGTTCAAAAGCCCGAAACCATGTTGTTTCAGGTTGTTGACCGATTTGAAGATCCAAGGATTGGGACTTCGAGTGGCGTGCCCTCACCTGGTTGCCGGCCTGGACTTCAGAAGAGGAGGGATGAACTGCCGGCTCAGGTTGGCTCAGGTTGGGCTGTGAAAAGCACTACAGTACAACACCTCCAAGCTTTAGAGTGGTTTTGATTAATAGGGAAGTTGCCATCTCTGAGGCTGGACTGTGCTATTCCAGTGTCGAAGCATGCCAAGTTATTGGCCCTGCATGCTGTCCATGTCCCTCAAGTCCTTGCAAACTTGGCAAAACTCCCCTCTCAGCAGAACCCAGAGGTCTTCCAAAACACCTCCATCCGAACGCTTGCGGAGCCTTTCCAAAAGGTGCTAGTGGTTTTGGGTCAAGTAGGTTTGGAGGCCAAATACGCTACTAGGGGCTCCTGGCCTTACTACTAGGAGCAAGAAGCTCCTGGCATCGCTTCTAGGAGCAAGGAAGCTACTAGGGGCTCGTCTTTTTGCACCTCAAAGACCCCCCAGCTCCACCAGGAGTTTCTGCTCACCGCAACGGTGGAGCTGGGCCGCGCCTGTGAGGCGTGGGCCTCCGGCGGCCGCAACGCCGAGGCATGGGCCGCGTTGCCGAAGACCGATGAATGCACCTTGCTACTAATAGCTTCTTGCTACTAGTAGCGATGCACAGTGCTACCAGTAGCTTCTTGCTACTAGTAGCGATGCACCGTGCTACTAGTAGCTTCTTG